GACTCTTGACTTACCCCGATCTGATCAGTGACACCATGCCCTACTTCCCCATCCATAAACTTCTTCACATGGGTGGTATTCCGTGAATACCTAATACCCATAGGGGATTCAACTACTAAACTATTCCCCATTTTCTGAACTAGGGTGTATGGCTCGGGATTAAAATTGGTAGACAATTTGTCTACTTTGGGTTGTTTAACCAGCACTTTGTCACCAACTTTCACTTCAGAATATGACGCGTTGCGCCGTTTGTCTGCGTAGAGTTTTGCTTTTCCCTTATTTTCGGAGTCCTTGGGGCGCACTTCGAGATCTGCAAAACTGTCCACACAGAATACGGGGAGTTTTCCTCGGATTTTACGACCAAACAGCCGTTCTGCCGGGCTCCGGCCCGTCGTAGCATGTTCCAATCCACGATATTTGCCCACGTATTTCCGCAGCTCCTTTCTCCAATCCTTCTCCTCAACTTGTGCGATTCTGATTCGTTTGAGAAGGGAGTCGTTTTGCCTCTCCACTTCCCCGTTGGCTTGAGCCCACCAAGCGGTAACTTTTAGATGAACTATTCCGTTTTCCTCACAATGATCTGCGAATTCCTGTGACCTAAACTGGGGTCCTAAGTCCGATTTTATAGTAACGGGGAGTCCATGTCGACCATATATTTCCTCCAATCGGTCGATCACCTTCTCAGCAGTGGTGGAAGTCATGATCGCATAATCATAGTATCGGCTATAATAGTCTACTACGACCAGAAGTAGAGTGTCCTGAGGGAAGTGGTCCCAACAAGTCAGTCACTAGATCTTGCCATGGCCCATCCGGCAATTGAGTGGGCCTTAGATATGGTGGGCTAGGTCGTGACACGGCCTGGCACCCATGACAGGCTTTACAGTGTCTCTCCGCTGCTTTGTCTATGCCGGGCCACAAAACTTTCGTCCTCAGGTTCTGTTTGGTGCCGACAATTCCCAGGTGTCCCTCGTGAGCTAGGGCCAGAGTTTGGGCCCTCAGCTTTTGCGGTATGATTATGCGCATTCCGCGTAAGACTAAATGTCCGATTATATACAGTTCAGGGCCAATAGGTGCATATGACTTGCACTTTTCAAAATTGCCCGAGCGAATTGCTTCTTTTACAGTACCTACAGAGTTCCTCGTCCTCAGCTGCGGCTTCCTCCACTTGCCTAGTAGTCAGTGCCCGAGGTGTCGCGGTAACAGCAATAAAGCGTACGTACTCCTCTGCACCATGGTCGTGTCTCAGTTTACACTTAGCACTAAAAAGACGGGACAACGGGTCTGCTATATTTGAATGCCCAGGTATGTACACCACTTTGTAGTCGTACGGCTGCAATCTCAAAACCCACCGCTCAATGCGTGCGCATGGTTTTGATCTTGGCCCATAGATTGCCTCCAACGGTTTGTGGTCTGTTAATAGTTCAAATTTCCGACCGTATATATACCTACAGGTACTAGTCCACCCTTTTGCTCCTGGGCCAGCACAGCGCCTATGCCGACCGAGCCTGCATCAGCGATGACCTTGGTTGGCACGTCCTTATCATAATAAG